TATTGACATTTTTCAAGATATAAGCTCATCCCGATGTTACATTCATCAAGAGCTTTCATTTGAGTACCTACATGCATTTTGATATATTTTTCATATGTACATATATATAATTTATATAAATATATGAAAAATTGATGTGGGTACTTAAATGAAAGGTCTTGGTGAGTGTAACATCGGGATGAGCTTTATTTTTTAAAAATGTCAATAGTTCACAAGATATTCGTTAAATTGCACTGTACTATTGACGTTTTTAAAGATATAAGCTCATCCCGATGTTATACTCATCAAGAGCTTTCATTTGAGTACCCACATGCATTTTGATATATTTTTCATATATACATATATATAAATATATAAATATATGAAAAATTGATGTGGGTACTTAAATGAAAGATCTTGATGAGTGTAATGTCGGGGTGAGCTTATATCTTAAAAAATGTCAATAGTTGACAGGATACAAGGTAATTTCTTAATTACTAATTATAATTTCTTATTTAAATAGAATTTATAAGTATATTATTAGTTTTTCAGTAGTTAACTACGTGTTTCATTATTCAATTTTTAAACAAGGAGACCTAATTACGTGTATAATATTACTACACTACAATTGAATTATAATTATTATTTAAACAAGTGTATGCTTATTTTAATTTAATAACAATTGAATTTAAAGGAATAAAAATTCTGATACAACCAGAAATTTGGATTAAACCAATAAATTGGCATTTTGGAATCCTAAACTCTCCGCTTCAATCAAACTTTACATTATCAGAAGATCAGTTGATTTTATTAATTATGAAGGGTACACCTCAAGAGGCTGAAAGTGATTATTGTCTTACAGAACTGAGTGAAGATAACTGCCATATATCAAATATATGTATGGACATGTTGTTGCGTAAAGATGGCTCCCGAGGGTATCCCTTGACTCATAGATTGTTGTACGTTGAAACTGCAAAGGCCGTAAGTGTTATAAAAACTTGTTTTAATTATAATTATATTTTATCAAATAATTAATTAAAGATATATTTAAAGTTACAGTGCACAGAAAATTACAGAGCTAATTTAACAGATCTAACAGAAAATTATTGTCGAGATATTTTCAACGATTTAATTGAATTAGAGTTTAATGGATTTCCCTCAATTTCACGGGACTTAGTAATGGAACAAAGTAAAATTATTTTTATAAATTTCAATTATAATTATCATTAATTAATTTTTTTTTTCTTTTTAAGTTTCTTTATGCGGTATGGAGGGATTTTTAGAATTTGCAAATGAACATTACGGAAATTTAATAATTAGATGGCAAAATTCTCACGGATGCTTTTCTTCTCTCAAGTAATTTATATTTATTAATAGTCTAACAAATTAATTAAAAATATTTTATATTCTTCATCATGATAAATTAATTGATAAAAATTTCTTCTTCAATTTTTATTAGTTCCCACACAGTTCGTTTTCGTTCCAAAAGAGCAACAAGCCTCTTAGATTGTGGATGTGACAGTCATGCTACTGGAGTGGCCGCCGCTGCATTAAGCATTTTAATACGCGAATTTATAGAAAACTAAATCATTTAAATTAATCTCAAATCATAACTCTGAAAGTATTACTCAGTAATTTATTAAACTTATATGTAAATTTATTTAAGAATATAGTGTAAATATGAGTATTTATGATTTTGATTATAAAATAAACTAAACAATAAATATTTAAATAAAGTTAACATTACAAAATTATTTAAAAATAAATAATTCGTTGTCCAAAAATCTATGCTAATATGACTTGACGTAACTCAAAACTTCATTGCAACATTAATCAGTCATATGCAAGATAATTTAAATAAATATACAAAACCACGTACATGCAAATAAGTACGCGAGATAAAAGGTTCCTTACTTTTATCATAAATTTAATAATTTATCGGTAATAAATTAGTAAGGAACACTTAAGGCAAGGCTTTGGTTAATGTTCTCCGTTATTCAAACGGCGTTTGTTTCTTCTTATGGCCGTCGATAATTGTAAGGTCGCCCGTAAGGCCCGACTTTCACATTGTTCTTCTCGATTCTCAATTGTTGGAAGAAGCAATATACTACTACCCACAAGTAAGTATAAATTGCTGGAAAAAAAAGTATGTGTTTTATTAACAATTAGCAATTAACTTAAAGAAGTTGACAGATACTAGAAATTGTTTTGTAATTTTATAGAAGTTATTATAAAAATTTAATTAAAAAATTCCTTGTGTAAAATTAAAAAATAACAATGAGATTTTTTTTTAATTATGAAAATTGATTCAACAGATATTTAATAATTTTAATAATTTTTGTAACAAATAAATTATAGCAAAAAAAATTTTTTTTTAAATTGATGTAGAAATTTAAAAAAATAAAAAATGCAATTTTTTTTAAAATAATTTTTTTGAACAAATTTATTCAATAAAAAAAAATTAAAAAATTGTAAAATGACAGCTAAATTTGATGTTATATTAAAATTGATTCATTATAAAAATTAAAATAATTAATTTCAGTATCATAAAAAAGTTATACCTATAAAAAAGTTTTAGACGTGAAGAATACTTACCAACAAATATCAGGCCGATTATCAGGCACAGAACGCCGTTAAGAACTTTGTGATTAACCATAGAAGCTATCGACGTGAATAAAACACTTACGAGTGCTCCGATGGCTAACATTAATCCTAATACAACCCAGGGCAGCATCATGAACGTGTTTTTCTGAAATTAATTATCGTGAATAGCCAATAAAATAATTGATATAGATTTTAAAGTAGCCTTTTTATAACTATAGTTTACTTTGAGCGCCCCAACAATCAATAATGATGAGATTAATATCGTCATGCAGAGATTTATCGCAAAGATGATCTTCACGATTGATTTGTCGAGTATGTCGAGCACTATCATCTTCAGCTCGATGTTGAGGGTAAATATCAGGATTAATGTTATTATTGATAGTATCTGAAATAAAAAATTTGTTATTTTGTAATTTATTACAATAATTTATTTATAATAATTTATTACTTCTCCCCATGTATAAAAATCTATTTTTTGTCTTTTTCTTTATATTTCTTTTATTTTTCTTTAATATTACTGTTTATACTTAATTCCCCTCATAATTTTTGTAATATCAATATGTACAAAGCCGTTTGGCGTTAAAAGTATAATAAATAAATAAATAAATTATATTAGAGTTTGTTATCTGATTTTATAGTACTTACTATTCCACATATTCCGGTGAATATCGTGCCGGTTTTTAATGAAAAACATCCACAGCAGGTATTTACTTGAATTCTGTAAATTAAAATATTTAAATAATAGAATTTTAAGAAAAAAAAAACACGGCATTTATTGAATAAATTTATGTTTTATAAATAATTTTTAACTATAGTTTAATTATACGGAGAAAAATTAATTATACTACCTACTATATAAAATTAATTAGTAACAAAATAATAGGTGATATTGACAATTGTAATAGTTACTATTAATATTGGTAACGATTACTATCAAAAATAATAATTGTAATTATCATAAATTATAACTGTTACAATCAAAGATGGTAACTGTAATCATCTCAGATCGTAAAAATTCTGAAAGAAAAAATAATATAAGTTTACTTAATTAAATCCTTTATTTGCATCTTTATTTTAGCTAATGTACATTTTTTTTTTTGAAATATTAAAATATTTTAAATTCCCTTCAAAATTTTTTTTTGATTTTATTGAAAATTTTGATTTTTTTTGAAATTTCAAATTTTTTTTCGAAAAATTTGCCGTTGAAACTTGTTTTAGACAAATAAAAATTTAAAAATTTGGAAAATCCAAGTTGAAACTGGTTTTAGACAAATAAGGCGTGCAATATAAATTCTATCCGAATTTAATCCCGATTTTTTGTGCACTACACTGCACTACAACTGCTTTTAGTTTATTCAGAAATGCATCCACAATAACGCAGATTCTTAATTTTTTAAATATTTTTTACTAGCTTAGATAGTAGTTATTATTATTACTGATGGTAACTGTAACCATCAGATTATATTAGGAATTACGATTTTGATAATAGGTAACTAATTAAAATAATAGTTATTATTACTGATTACCATCATAATAGTAGTAGTTACCATCAGGATGGTAAATACTACAATTCAAATGGTTTACTTAATTATTTGAATAATTTTTACTACTATTGAATTCAGTTAATAGATTTTAACATAACTAGATAATAAACTCTACTATAAAATTTCCTCCGTGCATTAATCTAAAAATGAATCCCTAGTTGATTTTTAATTATCAATAAAATAATTGACATAATTTATTTATAAATTTAAATTTATTCAATATAAAAAAAAGATAAATATTTATGAAATTTATCCGGGTATAATTTTATGAAAAAAATAAAAATATTTATCAGAATTTTAAAAAATTAAGCGTCTTTCCGCGAGCCTAAACTAAAACGCTTATGCAAAAGCCTATAATAATAATAATAATATTAAGACCTGACATTTAAAAGAAATGTCAGTGGGTAAACTTGAATATATTTAAATAAAAATAAATCCTCAAGATAAATAACCTTATTAAGTATTCGTTAAGTATATATTAAGTTAAGTCGAGTGACGATCGGGGAAAATAAATCTCTGAAATGAATAATTATCCCTATTAACCGGTGACGCTTCTGAATTGCAGGTGTCCAAAAAGCTGAGATAAGAATAGTTAGATATATAGGTCAATGGCGAATGCCGGCTCCCACCAACTAAACCAGCCGCTTACTATTTTGGATTCTGTATAATATATATTATGTATGTAATGTAAACAGAATAAGTATAAGTGCATATTCTGTTGCTGACCTTCCAGATTTGTCATCAAATTGTAAGCGTTTTTCTTTAAAAGGTAAACTAAAGATTAAGAAGCGTGGGTTACCACCGTCAAAGTCATCAAGTTTTTTTAAATATTAATTTTTATTCCGACGTAGGTATATTTTTTTTATAACTTATATGTTTGTATTTCATTAATTATAGTCTGGGAATTTTCATTTTGTTTTTATAATCATGTAATCAATAATATTTTATTAAATTAATCTTAAATACTTAAATTTAAAATAATACTAAAGTTAGCCGACGATTTTTAAGTATTTTTATTATTTTATTTATTAAATTAAAACAAAAAAATATTTTTTTAAAATTGCATTTAAAGTTTTCCAAGTTTTTTACAAATGAAATTTTTTTTTAATAATTTTTCCAATAAAAAAAAATTATAAAAATTTTTACATGTCGGCTAACTTAATTTTCATTAAATTTAAATGACACTAAAATTAGCAGACACTACAATTTTTTAATTTTTCTTTAAAAGTAAACTAATTATAAAAAATTATTGAAAGAAATTGCATTTATTTTTTTTTCTACAATTTAAATGTGAAATTTTTAAAATAAATATTTTTTACATTAATTTATTTGTTAAAAAATTATCAAATGTCTCTCAATTTAAAAATAATAAATTTAATTACAGAATTTATTTAAATGATTAATATTATTATATTGAAAAATTAAGTAAAATTTGTAGAAAATTGCATTTATTATTTTTTTACATCTTCTAAGTGTGAAATTTTTAAAATAAATATTTTTTACATTAATTTATTTGTTAAAAAATTCTAAAAAATTATCAAATGTCTCTCAATTTCAAAATAATAAATTTAATTGCAGAATTTATCTAAATAATTGATATTATTATTTAGAAAAATGAAATAAAATTTTTTTTAACTAAAATTTTCTTCTAGGTAATAACAACTCGAGTTATTCTAAGGAATGACTTAAGTTTTAAGTACCGTGTAATGCAATTGATACAGATCTAAGTAACAAATACAAGAGAGATCGTTGGATGAGCATGACGGTCACGGGAGGCCATGAAACTCCGGTCGAGGTTTTATCGAGGCCCCCCATAAGGAAACACGACGTGTTGGTCTTCCTTGTTTAAATGTTACTCTCCCTCTCCCCTCACTGTTTACCGTCCTCGCTCTCTCGTTTACCTCAACTAAAAAACAACTGCGTCATCGGTTTGACTCGTTTTTATTCGCATACTCAATTATTGCATAAATAACTATAACAATCATAATCATAATCACAATTATTAATATAAATTTCTATATTTACGTCCACCAGAAGTTATTTTAAAAATAAAAAAATAATTTACTATGTGTATCACTTTCAATGTATTAAATCGGCGCTAATCCCACAGGCTCTCAATTTTAAAAATAAAGATGAGTCAACGTTTAGTTGTATTGAAAAATAAATATAGTTACATACTCATATATTATCGGCAATTTTTAATTGTTACTATTCCTAAATATAAAACCAAAAAAAAAATTAACATTTCTTCCCAACATTTTAGACCACTTTAACTTAATCTAATTGATTTAATTTATTTCTTCTTACTTATTTATTTAGCATTATGTAATTTTTAATTACTAATGAGGTCAATAATTTTAAAATAAAAAGAACCCAAGAAAAACTTGTGTAAAAAATAGTTTGGTATTTTACGAAGAAATCGATATATCACATGTCACTTAATTTAAGATCGGCAACAGTGCTCAATTAGTATTTAAATTTAAAATAAAAAGCGACCTAATTTTTTTTTTTTAACAAATAAATTATTTAATAAATTTATTTACTTTTCCATTGTGAAAAACTGGAGAACACTTCTTGTTAATATAACTTTTTTTTTTAACTTTAATTCACTGAAACTATTTATTAATTTTTAACTTTTTTACGGGAAATAAAAGTAATTTATCAGAAAATCTATATAAAGAAAAAAAAAAGAAGAAAACAGTTTAAAATGAGTTTCCGCGGGAATCACTTGGAGGTCCAGCTCTGTTCGTACTAGGAGATGGTCAGAAACTGTGCCAAGAACAGTAAGTCGTACAGCAAAGCACGATGGAATACACCTACTGCACCTACTACACCTACATTTAAAGCGCACACAACTCAATGATCAATGGGTATGAAGATACTTGTAGTGTACTATGGATATAATACATATATACTTCATATGACCGCGGTGAATGTATTACGATGATTTAATGTAACTGAGTATTTCATTAAACACGTGAGTTGAGTGTGCAATTGTGCTGGTTCAATATCGCTAAAACGCAAAAAAATTATTCTGGAATGTGAAGATTTATTCTTGGTCAATTTTCGGCTAATAAATCAAATATTTTAGGGACTATGGCTCGTTTTTTAATTTTTGGGTTATAATTATAATAATTAAGCACAAATTTAATTGAAGAAATAATTCTGGATGATTTGATGAGACTTTTATTAAATTTCTTCTTTAAATCTTTAAAAACATTTTAAAAAATTTATCTTATATGTTACCATAAGTTATTTATAAGTAAACTTGTAAGATTGAATGTGGTATTTATAAATTTTTTTTGGTAAATATTTACAAGTTGGGTCCACCTTATTCTTGGCCATATCTAGGTGAAAAATTAATATTTTTTAATTTTTTTTATTCTGCATCTTTTTACGGCGCATTTATGATAAAAAATATTTTTTTGCCTTCAAAAGTTGGAAAAAATTTTGGCTCTCATGTTTTTGGATAAAATTTCTATTTTATCTTTTTTTGATATATTTTATTTTGAAAAGAACATAAAAAAACGAACATTTAAAAAAAATAAAGTTGAATATCACAATTTTTCAAAAAAATTTATAAATTTTTTTGAAAA